AGCTTATTTTTTCTTTTCTTTTCTTTTTTTTTTTTTTTTTTTTTGGAGAGGTTTTTGCTATAGGGCACATGCCCTCGCCAGGCAGACAGAGAGAGACATAGAGACAGAAAGCGAGAAATCACCCCCCCAGGGGGGATGGTCATGCCGCAATTCCTTCTCCTCCATTCTCCTCTTGGGATCTTGGGCATGCACGCACATGCACCTGGCGTGAGTTCTAAGCCACCGGGTCCGGGACGCGAACCGCAGTCGACTACGTGGGAGTCCAGCAACATAGCCATTACGCTAACTGCTGGTTCCCGGCAGCTTATTTTTTCAAGGCTAGCGGGAAAGTATCTCTCTTCAGGAAGTGTCCAATTCCTTCTTTAAAAGCTATCAGATCAATAGGTCAGGACTCTCCAGAATAAACTCCATTTTGATCGGCTCACATAACTGATTGGAGGCCTTGACGATATCTACAATATCCTTCAGCTTTGCCATGTAACTTTATCTTACCAGGAGATTACACCATATGCACAGGCCCCCTTCACACTCAAAGGGCATGTACACCAGACAGTGGAAAACTAGGAGCCATCTTGGAATTGTTCCTGCCACAAAAATTTAGACTTACTTCAAAATTAATAAGAGTTTATTAGCTTAAGTATATACAAAATTTATATATAAAGTCATATCTATTTTTACATGTCAGAACAGAGTTGGAAAAAAAAATTAACAAGAGGCCCAGGCTAGCTGGTGCACTCTGTGGCATATTGGACTGAAGTGTTGTAAGCTGTGAGGCTGAACATGGCATTGGGCCCCTGGATTGGCTTGAAAACAAAATAAGTGCTTGTATAGTGAGGAGCTGGGGGAAAGAATGGTGGAAAGGGATTAAGGCATGATGAGACCCTGTTGGGAGTGCTTTCTCTTTCTCTCTTTCACTAAAGTGTATATATTTATGTATGAAATTAAGAGAGACCCTTTAAATTAGCATTTTATAATAAAGTAACTAGGCTCAGTGGAAGTGCGTCTCACTGAGATGCTGGAGCCATCTGGGAGACTGGTGGTTCAGTTCCCTGGCTGCAAAGCATGAGCACAAGTGCCTGTGATTCTGGCTGGTTGGAAAGGGTAGGGAGAAAATGGTAACATGAGACCCTGTCGAGCATGTTTGTCTTCCTCTCTCTCTTTTTTCATAAAATAAATACATAAACTTTTTTAAAAAATGGAGTAATTAGTAGTATATCTGACAAAAAATTGTGGTCACTATGGAGAAAATTATAAAACTTTAATAATGGAAGACATTAAATATAACATATTTGAAGGAAAGCTATACGTTGCTGATAGATGGGAAAATGTCATTGTTAAAATGACTATCTTCATAAATTGCTTGTATACCAAATGTAATTCTAATAAAAATCCCAGACTTCTTTTTGGAGAGGTTTTTTCTTTAGGGAATGTGTGCTCGCCAGAAAGACAGAGAGAGATGGAGAGACAGGAAGCGAGAAATCACCCCCTGGGGGAATGGTCACATCACAATCATTTCTCCTCCATTCTCCTCTCGGGATCTTGGGCATGCGCGCACACGCACCCAGAGCGAGTTTAAGCCACCAGGTCCAGGACTTGAACCATGGTCGACTACATGGGAGTCCAGTGACATAGCCATTACACTAACTGCTGGTCCCAAAAAATCCCAGATGTTTTTGTTTGTTGGTTTTCTTATTCATTGATACTGGGATTGGCCAAAATCAAATAATTCTAAAATGTATATAGGAAAATATAGAAACAAAAATATCTGAAGAACTCATAAAAAAGTCTAGGGGATAAAATTCTCTACTTGATATCAAAATGCATTATAAAAATACCAATTAAGGGGACCAGCAGGTGGTGTGGTGGTTAAGGTGCTGGACACTCCCACAGGATCAACCATGGTTCAAGTCCGAGACCTGGTAGCTTGCTTTTTGACTCTCTCTCTCTCTCTCTGTTTGTGTGTGTCTTTCTCTATGGCCAAATTAAAATAAATGAATGAGTACATAAAATTAAATAATTCTTTTTCAAAAAATATACCAATTAAAACATGTTGGTATTAATAGAGGGAAGACAACTAGCTCAATGAAACAGACTTTACAGATTAGAAATAGAAATATATATGTGCAAATACTGATTATGATTGGTACACTTAGGGACCTATATAAGAAAATAATTAAATTAAACCCCTATCTCACACCATATTAAAAAAATGAGTGAAAAGTCCTAACAAAGGTATCATTGTAATGCTTTTAGAGGATAATATACAGGAAAAAATTGTTTTATGATCTTCCTTATATCAGGATAAAAATCTCAGAGCAGAAAATTATTAACAAACAGAAAAATGTAGCTAAAAACCTTGAAAATGTAAACAAATTCTATTAGTCAAAAAAGACACTATAAAATTTGGGAAAACCTAGCTACATGTAACTAGCAAAAGACTAATTTCCAGAATATATAAAACATTGTTGCCATTAATGAGAAAATATCAATAGATGCTTACACCTCAAGAGACAATCCAGTAGAAAAAGTGAACAAAAGACTTGACTTGGCTCTTCATTAAAGAGGAGAAAGTGGCTAATAAATATTTGTAAAGAGTCTCAATCTTCTAAGTGATCAGATAGCTAGAAATTAAAATCCCAGTAAAATATCATTACAGATCCACCAGATTAGCAGATATAAAGATCTGGTAACAGAAGATGTCATTCACTAGGGGTTCTCTACACAACTTGTGGAAGTATAAATCAGTACAATCTTCTAAGTGATCAGATAGCTAGAAATTAAAATCCCAGTAAGATATCATTACAGATCCACCAGATTAGCAGTTATAAAGATCTGGTAACAGAAGACGTCGTTCAGTAGGGTTCTCTACACAACTTGTGGAAGTATAAATCAGTACAAACATTGTTGAGAAGAATTCAGTACTATCTAATAGACTTGAAAATATATGTACCCCACGATTTAGGATTTCAGTCCTATGTATATAATGCAGAGCAATTGGTACACAGGTGTCTTCAGGCCTAGGTACCAGCATAGTGATAGCAGCATTATCTGTGGTAGTTTCAAACGATCTAAATATTATCACGTCTTCACGTGTGTGATTTATATGTGTGTAAATGTATCAGTATACTACAAAGTTTCTATTGACATTTTGGCTCTTTTTTTTGCAGAGCACAGTTCTGTCTGTTAAAGGATAGTTAGCGCCTCTGGTCTATAGCAACTAGATGCCAGTAATATCTCATCCCTTGGAAGTTGTTCTTTTTTTTTAAGAGAGATTTTTGCTATAGGGCACATGCGCTCTCTGGAGAGAGAGAGAGAGGGAAAGTGAGAAATCACTTCCCCATGGGGATAGCCATGAATCTGCTCTCCTCCATGCTCCTCTTGGGATTTTGAGTATGCACACACACACACCTTACACGTTTCAAGCTAGTGGTCTTGGACTCAAACTAAAGTCAGCCATGTGGGATTCCAGTGCCTTAACCACCAAGCCACCACTTGCTCCTCATCCCTTGCAAGTTCTAATGGCAAAATGTCTCCAGAAATTGCCATATATCTACCAAGACTCCTATCCTCCATTAAGAAACACTAGTGCAGTGGTTTTCTTTCTTTTTATTAAAAAAAAAATTATTTAGTTAGTTCAATTTGTTATTGTTATTTTTTAAGTTGACCAGAAAGAGACAGAGAGAGAAAAAAAAAAGAAAGCGAGAAAGCAAGGCACCAGGTTTGAGACTCACACCGTAGTCAGCCATGTGGGAATCCAGCATCTTTAATCACCACACCACCTGCCAGCCTCTACAGTAGTTTTCTAACAAAAATCTTCACTAACATAAGTTGTTATTCTTTCACAGTAGCCAACACAATTTTTATTTGAATCAGTCATCTTTTAACATTACTAAAAATGGTGGGACCTTTGGGCTGGTAGGTGGCATGGCGAGTAAGATGGCTGAATCCCACATGGTTGACTGTGTGGTTCCAGTCCTGGACCCAGTGGCTTGAAACACATGCCAGGTGTGTGTGCATGTGCACAAAATCCCTAGAAAAGTAAAGGAGGAAAGGGGATTGGTGTGTCTATTGCCCCAGAGGGTGCTTTCTCACTTTCCTTCTCTGTCACTGTGAGTATATGTGTCTTATACCAAACAAACATACAAAATGCTGGACCTTGGTGAACCTTCTCCTGGGAGCTTTTGCTGCTTGACATACTGATTTTGAGGTTGTTTATTCCCTAGTTCCTTTATCCAGTGAGTTTTAGAGGCCACTAGTTTATAGAAGAGGAATTTTTAATAATTTGACGATTTTCCCTTTTGCATGGCAAAAATAAGATCAATGGAGGAAGTGCTTATATTTTCAAATTGAACAACCTAAAAAGCAGCCTGATGTTTTTGTCCCTTTGGTATAAGAAAACATGTCTTGATAAGCACTAGCTCAATTTATTTTCATTTTTATTGGTAAAGAAAAGAGGGTGTAGAAACTGAAAAGTTGGCAACACAGTGTAAGTTTTATGTTTTTAAAATACTTGCTGTTTTTCATATGAGTACATTTTGAGGAAAAATAATGTGATTATTTAGAGCTTAGAATGTACCATAAAATAGACCATAGAATATAGGAAAAGTGACATTTAGTTATGTTGGAAAGAGAACCACTCCCAAAACCCAAAAAACCTGTACTAAATTGAGCCATTCAAAAACTTGAGGGTATGTGTGTGTGAGCATGTGTGAGTGTGTGTATGCAGCAACAGACACAAGCAGTAATTCAGCACCACTTACATTCACATATATATAGGGATTTACTAAACATATGTGTATTCTTTAGCTATGTTTAAAAAACAATACTTAAAAAAAAAGAAATTTAATAAATGCCTAAAACCTATAAGATTTAATCAAAGATAGTATTTGGGGTTCATAAATATGCAATACACACACACACACAGCCCTACAGTCATATATTTTATAAATGTCTTTTAGAGGTTTTAATCTATACCATTAATCTTTATTATACAATAAGTAAAGGATGAGCATTTTGTTCAGTGGTAGCATACTATTACCAGTGTTTGTGTTGTGGTTCTAGAGTCACCATGCACCAGACTGCAAGAACCAATTGATCAACGCAGAAATTTTACTAGCTGGTGGATTTCAAGTAAGTGGCTTGAAATTGCAATGGTGAGAGTATTTAAATCACAGAAATTAGCAAACCCTTTCTGAAGGATGTGGCTCATTAAACCAGCACACCACTGGTGCTTAAGCTAAATGGTATTACATGGACTCTATCTGACTATATTTAAAGAATTGTGTTTATAATTTAAAGCACTGTTTACACTTTAGTAGCATATTGTACTACTGATTTATGTGAACTGTGGACTTTTGTTTTAGTTTTATTTTTAGTTGTTTTTCCTTTCAGAAATATCGGTAAGAAGTATTTCCCAGCTTCTATCAGGAACAGAGAGATTACAGAGAGATTACTGCTTAGCAATTTTCCCTAAGTATTTTACTAGGAAAAGTGCAAGATGTTGAATTCTTGGCCTTTATTATTTAATATTTTAATTCTTATCTCTATCTAAGTTTGGATTTGAAAAATTTATATGAATACAAATGAAGAGCAGTTTTAAATAGGAACAAAGATTATAAATTATAATAAGAACAAAGATTGTAAGTAGCATAAAGTTTACTAAATAATCAATAGCTTTCTTTTTTTTTTTTTGGAGAGATTTTTTGCTTTAGGGCGTGTGCGCTCGCCAGACAGACAGAGAGAGACATAGAGACAGAAAGCGAGAAATCACCCCCCACTGGGGATGGTCACACCACAATCCCTTCTCCTCCATTCTCCTCTCGGGATCTTGGGCACGCATGCACACGCGTCCGGCGTGAGTTTGAAGCCACCGGGTCTGGGACACGAATCGCGGTCGACTACGTGGGAGTCCAGCGTCATAGCCACTACGCTAACTGCTGGTTCCCAATAATCAATAGCTTTCTATAATACTTTTGCTGAAATGAAAACAAAACAAAGTTTTAAAAAGTACTAGACTTAAATACATTGAGAAATATTTGGTTCACATATGAAGAACTATTTCCTAAAAAGAGATCTGTAAAGTGAATTCATGGTAAACATACAAAAAACTGATGTGTTTTATAGCCTTGGAACAGAGAAATAAACTCAATGGATATCTTTGTTCCTTTCCAGTTTTTTCTCTTCAATAAAAATAAATCTTGACTAACTGTGTAAAATGCATAAATACAATTTCTGATTTCCCAACTTTCAAATGTCAAAGGACAAGAACAAACATTTGTTCATAACATGCATAGTTTCCATATTTGTTTCATATTTTCAGGTTGAGAGTTAAACTTTGAGGTTATTACATTTTCTTGATACCATGACATTTTACCCACCTGAAGTTTTCTCTTTCCTTCTTCATCTGTTCTATTCCTACTTACATATCAAAGTAGTTAGTTTAATTTCTTCCATGGTATATTATTCCCTGACTTCCCACTCTGGAATACTCTATGACCTAGTAGTACATGAATACATTCAGTTAGCAGTTTCTCACATAAACTGCACAGCGTCTCTTGGGTTACTATTTTCTGAATATTATTTAACTTTTATCATTCGATGTGTTAATACTTTTATATTTGGCCTCATACCTTTGCTGATCTGCAGAACCTAGAGCAAGATTGTGTACAGTTGACTGTATTTGAAACACACAGTTGCTATAGGATAAAAGTTATGCTTCTCTCCTTTCCAGTTTCCATGTAGTCTATTTTAAAATATATACACACACAAGCCAGTTTCTAAAGTATCATCTTGCTGGAGAGTATACTAATTAAAAAAATAAAAAAAACTGAAGGGAAACAAGTAGATACCACAAGAGGAGCTGTTGTAACAGAGTCCACTATGGATTTCATGCTAATAAGGTCACTAGTCCTAATCTTACAGTTGAACCCCAAGACGAATCTCAAGGAATCCAGTAAACTGTATTAGTAACTATAGCATGTATTTTCCTCATGGGCAGAATGTATGAGTACTTTTTCATGTTTATCTGCCATTTGTTATTCCTTCTTCTATATGTATTTATAAATCTCTCAATTTTCCCATGGGATTTATGTCTTCTTAATTATTTATAGAACTTCTCGAAGTTTAGAGATAATAAACCTTTGTACAATCATCGTATTTCAGACCACTTCACCAAGTCTGGCTTTGCATAGTTTGTTTTCTCATCATGTAGTAAATTTCCTCAAATATTTTTATGGTTTCAGTGTTTCATATGTTATTTAGGCAGGCTTTTTGTTCACTAGGTGATTATAAAATTATTCTCCCCCAATTTCACCAAGAGCATTTTAAAGTTTGCACTTTTCCATTAGTGGATCTGGAACTTATCTGGGGTTATTGCTTGAGGTACAGAAATAATTTGTTTCCTTGATAAAAAGGAAACTGCTAATTCTACCTGTGTATCAATTCAATTTCTCCCATTGTTTTGAATCGTCATTTATGGACATCATTATGCTCATCAATATTTAGTCCCCATAGAAGATTGTCCTTCATTTAAGTATGGCAGGATCTTATGATTAATTTGAACAATGAGATATGAACTGGACTGTTCTCTGTTACTTTTTTTTTTTTTTTGGAGAGGTTTTTGCCATAGGACGTGTGCACTTGCCAGATAGACAGAGACAGACAGAGAGACAGAAAGCAAGAAATCACCCCCCAGAAAGGATGGCCACACTGCAATCCCTTCTCCTCTGTTCTCTTCTAAGGATCTTGTGCACGCACGCACATGTGCCCGGCGTGAGTTTTAAGCCACTGGGTCCGGGACTCGAACCACGGTCGACTACATGGGAGCCCAGCGACACAGCCATTATGCTAACTGCTGGTCCCCATGGTCTCTGTTACTTCTTAACTAAGGAAACCAAAAGCTCCTCACAGCCTTTTACATTTTTCTTTCCCTGCTATAGTCATGAAGAAGGTCTTATGTTGGGAAAGCAGAACGATAAGATTGAAGTGATATATATTGCTAC